TCTCTATATATATATATATATATATATATATATATATATAACGAAGGCAGTTTCTATAAAGCCTAGGTCTTATGGAAAAAAAAAAGTAAAGCCTCACCGCGAAATCCTGTCCGAAAAATATTCCGGGCACAGGAAATCCCAAAGATGGCTCTAAAATTTGTTTCCACTAGTGATTATGAAATTTGTAGCTCAAAAAATGATACAGATCTTATGGATCTGTGAACACTTGAAAATGAACGGTCTAGATAACGTGTTATAAGATGTGATATTTTTAGGCTTGAAATCCTTTTTTTTTCACAACCATGATGATCAAGTTGAGAAGATTGATTTGACAGTTTTCTCAATGTAGGAACTATAATTTTCGATGAGTTTTGAGGTGAGGCTTCACTTTTGCCCATAAAGCCTTGGCCTAATATCCAATGAATTTTGAGGAGAGGATGCTGCTAAACTTTACAGCTATACTATAATACAATGATAAGGAATTTGGATCTCCTATAACTCAAAATCTCGATCTCTAGTAACGAGGATCGAGATTCCAAAGTTCAAAAACTGTGGAAGAGCAAGATTTCCTTCCCTGGACCGTAGGAGTGAGATTCCGCTCGGAGCATAATCAACCCCTTAATTGGAAGATCCCAGTAACTATGAGCAGGGTTATAAGGATCCATGACATTGAATATAGGGAGCAGACCAAGAAGGGTTATTTTTTACTACGAAATGGATGGGGGAAAGAAAATGGCCCTGTTCCCAAAAATTACTATGTCCAAATCGAAGCATAATTTTTTTTTGTAAATTTTGACAGCAACAAAAACAAAAGTATAGATGATGACCATTACCACTATTTTGATCACCATGAATAGTTGAAACGGTATCCAATGGAAATGATGATACATGGCATCTAATCATGAGTCCATATGAAAAATGAGGCACTTCGTTTATCTTCCAATACAACCTCGGGGCAAAAAGGACAACTTTCTTTTCATCAATGTTACTAATCAGGGATATCACAAAGAAAATGCATGAGAGACAGGACTTAAGAAAGCAAACCTCAAGAATAGCAGAAAGCAAGTGTGCTTTTATCCTTCTGCCTCCTGTTGCAATGGATTTGTCATACACTTTCGAGGAATTAATTACAAGGTTGACCTTAAATATCGATATCAGGAAGAGGCATTTTCCAGTAGTTCCACGAATTAAAATCCTCCTGAAGCAGGGCATCCAATGGAAATATGAAACACAGTACCAAATTTATACAATATTAATGAATTCAATCATAACCTAAAGGTAAAAGATTCTATAATCCAGTGAACATGAACAACTTAACCAATTGGGGTCATCATTACGAAATGAACTGATGGAAGATGGTGGAGAGGGAGTGGATCCACCATACGGTCATGTCATGATACGGTGGGTAGGGCTGGCAATGGGCTGGGCCAGCCTAGCCCGACCTCGAGTCTAACCCTATTCCCCTGAAGGCCGGCCCAAGCCCAATCGGGGCCAAGCCAGGTAAAATTAAAGGAAAACAAAGCAAAAGGGATGAAAACATAAATGCCGGGCCTATCTTGGCCTGGCCCAGCCCTAGTTTTTTAGGGCCAGGCTGGCCAGGCCAGGCCATTGCCACCCCTAATGGCGGGTCCCACTCTCTCCCCATCTCCATCCATTTCCATGACAAAGATGATCCTAGAGCTATGGTTTTCCATAGTCCATTGGATTATAGTTCACTTTTTCAATTAGAATAGGCAGTAGAGGAATACCTGTTCAACTGATGACATGGCTGGAAACATGCCATTGACAAGTGAATGAAGTGATGTGTAGGATTTGTTATCCACACGTCGGTTCACCGCCACCTCACCCTGTTTGCACAAGCAACAAATAGGAAATGAATCAAAATGATTTATAGCAAATATCCACCCCCTTGTTAAGAAACATTAGGGACATTTTACAATACCTTGGGATTAATGATGAAGATTTTACTCTTTGGAATCCCAACCTTTAGATAACTAATCTCATCAGTGTCTCTGTTGCCAAAGCCCGCATAGAAGGGGTTTGTATCAGGAGGGAATAATGCTCTGATATCCTGTTAATCAGCAGAAAATAGGTTCGTATTACCTCCATTATGACTACATGAGAAATGCATGGACATGGACAGTGGACATGGACATGGTCTGTTTCTTCATTCTTTTTTTTGGGTTGAAAGTCAACTGTAAAAAGGAAAAAAGAAAAGGCCTCTTTCAGGTTCACACACATGCACATGCACACAAATATCCATGGAAGTCTACAACACATGTATACAGTTTACATACCATACAATATACAGTGTACACTGTCTATTCTCAGTGACAGACAGTGAAGATGAACCTTTGCTCTGCCTTTGCCCGTTATCATGGAGGCACAGTTCATAACCACCAACCATCATGCACGTGGAAAGTAGTGATTATGTGTCATACAAATGGTTTACTACATGTAAAATGGTTTGCAGGACCACACACACACACAAACACGTACTGATGGGTATTTGTCAATGTTGACTTGTGCCTTATTGCACCTCTGATATGTAATTTCCAAGGGTAACAGGTATACTAGTTATTGGTGAATGGAGCCCTATGTCCACTTACTCCATCCTAATCCCAATTTCTCTCTTTCGTCTTTCCCTTCTCAGGGCCTACTTTATGCATTTCCCTAATTCTTAACCCGAAATCAAAGAAAGATTGTTTTCATGTCTGGACCCTTCTCCTATAAAGAGAAGACTTTGAAACCTACAGACCTAATCGCCTTCCATCCTTTTTTTTTTGAGAGAAATCGGAGAAATCAAACCTCCTTTGGATCTTAGAGCTAGGACAACATATAAGAGATCAAAAGATATTATTTTGAAAATATCAAAAGGTATGCATTTATTGCTTTCAGCTGCTCCACAAATGTCAAAGAATGCTAGCAAGGGAGCACAGGCCAAAACTAATGCCTCATTAAGTTCGGCCTCAAATGTTTCCTGGGTATGGAGATACCTAGGGCAGCCAACCTGGAAGGCCGGTACACAGACTTCCAGGCAGGGCCTGCTTTCGGGATGTCATTTTAGGTTCATGAGCAATCTTGAGCCAGCTAGGCAGTACAAATTTGGGTAATAGGCCAGGCTATACAAATTTTGGGCCAGGCCCAGACCAAACTTGGCCATGCCTGAACGTGGTCAATGGCAGCCCTCTGTAAAGGAGCCAATCAGGCCAAGTAAGCCTGCAGGCTATTGAGCCAGCCTGGTTGTGGACAGGGCTAAGGCTACCATTTTTGGCTTGAGGGCTGGGCTTGAGGCAGGACTTAACTATATAACTTTCAGGCCTGGGCCTGGGCCTGGCCAGGAAAATTTATGCTGGGTCTGGGCTAATCCCAGCCAACAGCACTAACAGAAACATCCAGCTCTCTTTTGGTTGAGCTTAAGCCCTATTTTCTCAAATTTTTGTGCGAGACCATATACATATTAGAGCATATTGGACCTGATTCAACAGCATCTAAATTTGTTCCTGGACAAAGTTTGAAGCAAACTCAATAAAATGTTGAAGAAATCTGGCTTTTCTTCCTAGATGTAGTGCATCCTAAATCAAATGGAACTTCAGGTTTACAACTAACAACAATTAATTGTGTGAGGTAACTACCTACATAGGCCCATTTTGCAACTACATCCTCTAAAGGAAAATACAAATTTGAAATAATGTTGAATAAAAAATTGAGCAACCAGATCTAACAGACCCAAAAATATTCAGAGTGGTCTGCAAACATCTCCATGTTGTGGTTGCTAAACTCAATGAAGTAAGATGTATGTAATGGGCCACTTTTCTTCTCAAGGACAGTGATTTGGAATATGGTAGACGGGCAATATAAAAGGAAGACAATATCGCACTGCATCTTTGAACTACTCTTAGATATTATAAATTTACAAGGGAATAATATTTGGTAAGCACTGTGGTACATTAAGAGGGACTCAGAACAAAATTAGCCAACAGTGTTGGCCTACTAAAACTCCACCTCAGAGAACACAAAAAAAAAAAGAATGGTTATTGAACCCCAGAATCAGAACCCGTACTTCTTCCAGAGAGTCTCCTAATTGTTCCAAGCAACTAGAAAGAGATTCTTTAAGCAGAAAGAACTCAATTCAGGTGGAGGATAACCATCTAGAAGTTTTCACAACTCCATCATGTATGATGGAATCATCAAAGATTTAATCTTTTCGAAATCTGTATGTAACGCACTAGAGACTTGAGAAACAAAGAAAAGATGTGTACGAACGAGATATCTAGTAACAAGAAGAAGGAAAGGGCAAATAAAAAAACTCTCGAGCATTTGGTGATCTCAGATGTGTCCATATCAATCGATTGGGTAACTCATTATTTCGATGAATCGTTTCTTCGGGCACAAGAATATTCTGCAAACATTTACACAAATGCCCAGAACATTATGCCTTTCATGCGGGTCGGAACTTACCTGATACGGATTTTTATTTTTCTTTGCGAAAAAGGTTAAGGAATTTCGCTACCTTAGGACCATTATAGTTACAGCCATCGTTCAGCAGAGCTTCGGTTGTTGGCTCCCCCATCATCAGGTCACCAACTTCCTTGAGCTTCCCGCATTGGGCTGGTGTCAGCGCTCACACATGGTCTCACAACTTTGCAGAGAGACCTGTGTTTTAGGTAAACAGTCACCTGAGCCTGGTCAATGCGATCCCCTTTGTGAGAAGGCACCCCTTCTCCGGAAGTTACATGGCTATTTTGCCAAGTTCCTTAGAGAGAGTTGTCTCATGCCCCTTGGTATTCTCTACCTACCCACCTTTGTTGGTTTAGGTATCGGTACTCTTTTGTTGAGGGTCGTTCCAGCTTTTCCTAAGAGTAGGGTATAAATTACTTCAGCACCGTAGAGCCTAGTACTTGAACATTGGCTCGAGGCATTTCCTCTACCCCTTCTTACTATTAAAAAAAAAAGCAAGGTCACCTTGCATCCATGAACTGATAACCACCTTTCAGCTAACACTCCTCCGTCCCATGGGACCAACAAGGGGTAGTACAGGAATACTACTACAAGCAAGTAAGAGGCAAGAAATGTCACATTTCTCCCATGAAAAGCTTCCCTTACTTGGCTCAGTAATGCATTACAGAAAGTGAGGAGAAATGAAGAGAGGTCATAAAACAAGTTTCTGAAATTCATGAGCATCCAGCCCTTGTAGCCCACATAAGAGGTCTTCCAGGAAATGGAAGAGGAATATACCATTGGAATGGATTTGGTAATTAAATACCATGTTGCTTCCATTGCATAAAATTCGGAATATAAAATACAAATGTGGGAGACAAAGCCAGGCCTCAAGTGTTCCATCTTTTGCTTATATTGTCATATCTCAACACACCATCTTCCCCTATAGACACTTAATGAGATTATAGTCATTAATTAGATGCTTGGAAATAGAAATGCTAGTATAGGTGTTCATGATCTCGGAATGCAGGCAACTCTTAGCTTCATCAACCAATGTATCTAATATTGGTCTTTCATTATTCATGATAGAAAATTTTCCCTTTTACCAAAACTTACAACAAGGAAACAGGCTTTATGTATACAGTTATTGCTTCGCTTTTCGGAAAGTGTCTATTTATATCCTTTTTCACATGTCCAAGTATAAAAAATGAAAGGTCCTGAAATTGTGCATGTAAACAAAGAAAGAAAAGTAATATACTGCACCTCTAAGCATGAAATCTTGAATTCATGAGGAGCCCTTCTAATCACTACAAAAAACATAAGAAAAAAAAAGTTAAATTCAATGGCACACAACATAGAACAAAGAAGTCACTAATCTTCCATGCTTTGAGTACTACTTCATAGAAATATCCAAGTTGACAAAAATCAAAAGTGGAGTTAGTCCTATGCCACGTATCAAGGAATTCCATCACCAAAGCATGAAACCAAATGGCTGGACACACTCATGAATGCCATGTATGAAACAAAAGGAAGAAAGACACATACCTAAAAGTCACCATTAATAGCTACATATAAATTGATGGTGGTGAAAACCCTAGATCTGGTTCGTGTTGATCAAAAACTGAGATCTAAAAAATTGATATGGTGCATCAAATCCTATGGTTACTTTCTATCTAGGCCAAGTGTGTGATGTTGAACTGAAAGCCCTAGAATTGGTTGGGATATTTTAGTGTTTCAAAATTGGTTGTTGGACTCCTATAATACGTCTTACACCTGATCATGAGTTATAAGGCTCATATATCTAGATCTCATTTATGGATGACCGGATCTCTGTGAGAAGTCAAGTAGAGTGACTAATTATGTGAATCAGTGTCGGTCAAGCGACTCTTTATGTTAAATTAGTGAGTGTTTTCTGGTGTGTATTGGCTATGAAGTAGCTGATATGTCCAATATTAGTGATTCTAAGCACTTTTCTACCACCCATACTTAGGGTGTAACTTCTCACATTGGTGTCCATGGAGACAACCCTAGACTACATATTACAGTTGTTAAACTTGATGGGTCAAATTATCTGGAATGATCATAGTCTACTCAAATAACTACGTCACTGTCGATCCCAAGTCGGGATGAGAAAGGAGGATTGTGTTAGGTTGGCAGCCAACAAAAAACTTTTGCCACATCCCTATCATGAATCTTGAAACTTTTGCCACATCCCTATCATGAATCTTGATTGGAATAGGATTCGTGTAGACAATCCCAAATTGTTGGGATAAGGCTCGGATGACGATTATCATGATGGCCACAATCTGCTAAAATGTTTTTTTTTTTTTTTGAAGAAGTATGCTAAAATGTTTATGGTGGAAGAAGGAAGTTGGAGCATATCAATGGAAATATTATTGAAACTGTAGAGACATATCCCTCACGTGAGAAGTGGGAGACTGAAAATTTGATTGTAATGCTTGATTGTTGCACTCAATGCTACCTTCAGTTAGTCAGGGTTTCTTGTTTCTACAGACTACATAAGAGATCTGGGATTCGATACACCAAATTTACCCCCAAAGCAAAAATGTGTCTCGGGTGTACTGACTGAGGCAATAGATATCACATCTTCGACAAGAATTGTGGTCTCTAGCAGCATATTTCTCTTTACCTGGCAACCTATGAGAGGAGTTGGATCACTATCAGATGTTCCTAGAAGCAAGATGGGAATAAATACAAGGAGTTTGTGCAACATAATCATATCTTTGAGTTTCTGACTAGATTGAATCCTGACTGTGAGTTAGCTAGAGTTCAAATCGTCAATCAATTTAATCTTCCATTTCAATCACAACGTGAGGAAAGTAGAGAAAGTGTCAAACTGCATGCACAACCAATGGATCATTTTGCCTTTGTCTCAACCTCATTACCTCCTAAGAACAATAAGGGGTGTGGATCTCAAAAATTTGGAAAAGGGAATCCCAATCCAGTAGATAAAGATAAGCTAAAGTGTGATCCTTGTGGGTAGGAATGGCCACATTAAAGATAATTGTTAGGATTTGGTTGGTCAACCTGCAAAATTCAATCAACTTGGACAATTCAATGCATACAATGCTTCATCCGCTAGTAGCTCAGCAACTATCAATACATATCAAACACAACCTAATGCAGCTCTACCCTCCTCTTCTGCCCAAAAGGAGTTGATATCAGCTCCTAAGGAGAAAAGAGAGCCTTCATCAATTGTTTGCACAGTTCAATAGCCCAACTACTACCTCTACATCATCCTTTGCCCACTCAGGTATTTATGCTTCAACGAATCATGTCTTCTTTATCCCTCTGGACAGTCCTGGGTCATTGACACTGGAGCTTCCAATCATATGAATCGTATGTCTCCCATGTTTTCTTCTTATTCTCTTTGTTCTAGTACAGACAAGGTTAGAATTGTTGATCGATCGTTTTATTCCACTGCCAAAAAAGGAACAGTAAATATTTCCCGTCGAATATTTCCCGTCGATTGTCTCCTTCATCAATTCTTCATATTATTAGCTTTGATACAAACTTAATGTTTGTCAATAGCATTACCAAGAGAGTAAATTGTAGTATAACCTTCTTTCCTCCCATTGTATTTTTCAGGACGTGGATATGAGGGGAACGATTTGGTTATCGATATTTTTTATTGTTCAATCTGTTGTGGGGTCCATCCCCTGTTACTTCTATTTTTTGTTATTAATATTTGTTTCTTGTGGATGATTACTCTCATGGATCATCTTATGAAGACCAAAGATGAAGTTCCTAATATCTTCAAGATCTTTCACAAGATGATCTATACTCAGTTTGATACTAAAATTAAGGTCCTCAAGTCTGATCAAGATAGAGTACTGCAATGAAAAGTTGTCTTATCTTGAAGACAATAGCATAGAACATCAGATATCTTACTCATATACCCCGTAAGAAAATAGGGCAGCTGATGAAAGAATAAACACCTATTGTGAAGTTAGCCCTCTTGCATATGAATAGGATGTACTGGTTAGAAACAGTGATTATTGCATCCTATCTAATCAAACAAATGCCTTCTCATGTTCTGGGCTATAAATCTCCCCATAAACTTCTCCATCTTGATCATCCACATTTTAGTTTCTTTTTCTTTTTTGATAACTTATCCACATTTTAGTGTTCCTCCTAAACTATTTGGTTATGTTTGCTTTGCACATGTTCTTGGTGCAAAACATACAAAGTTGGACCCTAAATCCATGAAACATATTTTTCTTAGTCATCCATCCTCTCAAAAGGTTTACAAATGCTATGATTCAATGTCGGAGAAGAAATTTTGTTTCGATGGATGTAACATTCTCTGAATCCACTCATTTTTCCCCTACCTCTATTTAGGAGGAGCATAGTGTGTAAGGAAAGCCTCATGTTCCCCTTCCTCTTCCCACTTTTCTTGATTCTAGAGCTCAAGGCAACAATGGGCAGCATTCTTTTGATGTTGAAATTGGAAAAAAGTAATTAAAAGTCTATACTTGATGGAAACAAAAACAAGTGGAGACTACCGTAGCTGACATGCCTACAAGCCAGTTACAAACCTTTGATCAAGGTAATCCTAATTCTAATTCTATCACTTCTCAGCGAAATCAAATTGATTTGCCAATTGGTGTATAGAAAGGTAAGCGCAGTTGCAATACTCACCAAATTGGCAATTTTGTTTCTTTTGAGTCCTTGTCTCCTTCCAATGTTATAAAGGCTTTAGCTCATCCCAGGTGGAAGGAGGCTATCAGGGCATTATTTAAGAATGGTGCTTAGGAACTGGTAGACCCTTCTAAAGGGAAGAAGTTGGTTGGTTGCAAATGGGTCTACAATGTGAAAAGCACAAGGCTGATGGAACTATTGACATATACAAGGTAAGGTTACTGGGCAAGGGCTTTACTCGGACCTATTAAATAGACTACTAGGAAACATTTGCCCCTATGGCAAGATGAATTCATGGGGATACTTCTATCTCTGGCAGCTTACTTGGAGTGGACCTTGCATCAATTGGATATCAAGAATGCATTCCTTCATGGAGAATTATAGGAGGAATTGTACATGGTACCTCCACCTAGATTTCGCGCCCCTGGATGTGAACGAAAAAATTGTAGACTAAGAAAGGCAATCTATGGACCAAAGTAGTCTCCTCGAGACGTTTAATGGTGTTGTTCAAAGAATGAGGTATACTCGAATTCCTGTTGACCATACTTTATCACCAAAGATACCACGACCAGCAGTATTGTCCTAATTGTACATGTGGATGAGATTGTTGTTATAGGTAATTGTCCTAAGGAAATTCAACAACTTAAAAATTTTCTAGAGAGATAATTTGAAATCAAAGATCTAGGCCTATTGAATTTCTATTTTGAATAGAAGTGGCTAGGTTAAAAGGAGGAATTTTCATTTCTCAAAGGGAATATGTATTGGATCTCCTTAAGAAAACAGGAAAAGCTTAAGGCTAATCCAATTGACACACCTATAAAACAAAACCACAAGCTTCATGACCAAAGGGTGAAGCTCTCAACACAGTGGGTCAACTTATGTACCTTTCACTTACATGCGCAGACATTGCATATGTTGTGACTGTGATTAGTCAGTTTATGCATTCTCCATGAACCATCCACTTGAGGCTACTGTCGGAGTTCTCAGGTATCTAAAATTATCACAATAAAGGGGACTGTTGTTTGCTAATCATGGGTACTTACGACTTGAGGCCTATACAGAAGCAAACTGGGTTGGTCCTATTGTGGATCGAAGATTGACATCAAGGTACTGTACTTTTGTTGGAGGGAACCTTTTAACTCAGGAGTAAAAAGTAATCAAAGATCAAATACAGAATCTGAGTGTAGATCCCTGGGTCATGATACATCATGCATGTGAATTACTCTCGCTAAAAATCCTTTTACGAGAATTTGGTTTTTCAACGAAAAGGTCAATGTCCTTGTGCTGTGACAACAAGGCAGTAATTAGTATAGCTCACAATCCGCTCCAACATCATGGAACAAAGCATATAGAAGACCAGCTATCAAACATTCTTATCAAGGCTGTTGGGAAGCCTCAACTACAAATTATTTTAAGCAAGCTTATCATGACAGATATCTACACACTAACATAAGGGCGAGTGTTGCGAATAACTGAGTTTAAATTTATTTCTTTTTATATTTATGTCCCTAAGGACTTAATTGTCTTTTCCCCTAGACACTTTTAACATTTTAGTGTTAACATAAAGGAATTTAAGTGAAGAATGGGGGTCTAGGAAACAATATGGTGACCCCTCTCTCCTGCTTCCTCCTCACATGACTCTCTCTCACTCACGTCTCTCTCTCTCTCTCTCTCTCTCTCTCTCTCTCTCTCGATCTCTCGATCTGAGTTTCTCCTATACTCTTTCAAGATTTACATATTAGTTTGTAATAAAACTAAGTTCACCACTAGTGTCTATCATGAAAGATACATAAACAGTACCGTGTATGTTATATATATCATATGTGTTAAGTGTATGCATTTTCTGACTACGCAGTGATGTACAGTTGAAAATGATAAGCATTTGGGGCTTGGATGATTAAAATTTCTTGAGAAGTACATATCATCACCATTATCATCATAGCCTTTTCCCAATTAATTGGAGTCGGCTACACGAATCCTGATCCGTCATTCTGGGTCATACCCTCAGTGAGGCTATAAGTCCCTATATCTTTTCTCACTACTTCCAACCATGTCCTTTTGGGCCTACTCCTTGTCCTTTTTTAGCCTTCCACTTGAACTAACTTGCACCTCCTGATAGGTATTGTACTGGGTCTACGCCACACGTGGCTAGCCCACCTAAGTCTACTCACTCTCATCTTATCACCTATTGGTGCCACAACTAAATTTTTCCGAATGGATTCATTTCGAATTCTATCCCTTCTTGTGTTGCCACTCATCCATCTCACCATCCTCATCTCCAGTATACTCATTCTATGGGTATATTGTTTCTAACCACCCAACATTCCGCCCCCATAGAGCAAAGCTCGTCTCATAGTTGTCGTATAGAATTTTCCCTTCAGCTTCATTGGTATGTGGTGATCACATAAAATTCCGGTTGCACATCTCCACTTCACCCATCCAGCTCTAATTTTGTATGAAACATCTTCGTCAATCTCTCCATTTTCTAGGATTATCGATCCAATATATCGAAAGTGTGGTCTTTTGGTATTTCATGGCCATCAATCTTAACTACTTCCTCGCCTCTCCATATAGCTTGAAGCTAAATCCCTCTAAACCCACTATTGTAAAGAGTGACATGCAACTGATTGAATAACAAAGAACTTAAGAAAGATGAAGGACAACATGGCCAAATTTGTGATTAAGATTGCATTCTAGATTCTAAGGGAATAATAGATATGGCAGGTTATGTTAACTATAAAATGAAGGTGAACTAAACAATACCCTTCATGGGGGCAGATGTAAGAAACATGGATGTTGTCATAATTTAACATTCCTTATGGAGAGGCAGCTCACAGACACAGACCTTGTCATAATCTCAGTTAGATCCCCCAGCAATGAGGAAGGGGCTGCATAAATATATTACTCACATATCATCCAAGTATTCATTACATGTCATTCAATTTCAATATTATGTTAAAGTATAAACTCGAAGTTCATGTCTCACCAGATCAAGCTGGTTGAGTTAGTTTAGAGTTGTTGACAGCTATCTACTTGTTCAAGTGAGAGATGAAAGTGACATAAAGGTGAATGTAAAGTCAACAAGACTGATTCATAAGTTCATAACCATCTTCTTTACAGAATAAGTTTTACTTTTTAACAAAATTCCAAGTTGAATACACATGCCCAAAGGGAAAGAAGAAACCACGCCAGCAAGTGAAGAATTATGAGAGAATAATAAACACCTTCTCGATATAGTGAAGGAAATAAGCCATCTGGTGAAATAACAACCGGTCCATCAGGTAGTGCCTTCCCATCCTACAGATAAAGCACAAATGTTCATTTAAAAAAAATGACCGAATTATAAACTATAAAAAAAAAAGAATCATTTTTAGATTCGGTCATCCTCAGGAAGTGAAATGAATAACAATCCATTTATAAACAAGTTATAGATTCCCAAGATCTTTTCATTTTAAAATGACAAACATATTTTTCCTTTTGATGGCAACATAGAAACTCTATGCAAAACCTGCTTAAGGTTGAGAAGGAATCTCCTTGTAAGGTAGGCCTGAGAAATTGCACGTGCACTAAGAAATAGCAATTGGTAACCATTTTCCTGCAAGCACAGTGGAGTTGTAATATTACATACAAGATATCTCATAACCCATATATCATCACACATATACACATAAGATTACAACACAAACGGAGAAAAAAAAAAACTTCTAAATTTTCAGTAAACCCTATAGACCATAAATTTTAGTGAATTCCTAACAATGCCAATTCAGAGTGGAAGCACAGAAACCATAAATTAGATATGAGAATTCCTATTTACTTATATCAAATATTTGTCATTTTGCTTTTTATGAAATGCTCTCTAGAGATGAGAGCTTTAGCAAACATATACTTAGATACATGTAAGTTTAAAACATACAACCATAAGCATGTTTAGCAAGGCCCAAGAAACACCAAAAAAGTCATAGATCTTAATTTAACATCGAAACTAAATTTTCTTCTCAAGAGCAGCAATGTTTTAGCAAAATCCAGAAATTGAAGTACAATCCATATAAAGAAGAAGATGAGCAAGATCCATATAAGAGATGATCTGTGAATTATACAGGAATTTCAACTAACAGAAGTTCTTTCAATAATTTGTTGGACCAAAAATTTTCTAACTAGGCTGCCAAATGTTTATTTGAGACCAAGAAATTTTTGAACTTGACACCAAAGTTTAAAATCAGTAGGTGATTGACTAAGCAAAGAATGCATATCTTATTCTAATGGAATATTTGACACCTAAGTTTAAAATCAGGAGGTGATTGTGTCAGCAAAGAATACATATCTTATTCTAATGGAATATTTCCTTGAGGACCAGAATTGTTCAGATATGGAGGCAGATTTTGATAAAATTTTGTGGACTTAAAATTCCCTATCTATAAATAGTAGAAAATCAAGTGACTCATACTAACCCAAATATTGATAATAAAAGTTATCTTTTATGGAGCAAATAGTTGCAAAAGCTAGAATTTGTAAAAAGAACCATCAAAGTTGTGAGGGAAAGTGCAAATCCAACTAAACTGAAAAACTTATTTATCAACTCAATTTAAAAAGTAGAAGCCAGGTCTAGAATTCAACTCAGTTTAAAAAGTAGATGCCAGGTCTAGAATGAGTTACTAAATGCTAGTCATACTAGGTCAGGGGTATACTGGTAATTTCATAAACTGTTGTAACTTATGCTTGTATATGTAGTTCATGTTCATTGTACAGGATAAATATGTAATTTCTGGATTTATTATTATTATCTAACCATTAATTAATTGAGTTTAGGAAAATATAACGACATCTTGGAGTGCATCCCCTCATGAATGAATGAATCAGAGATCACGTCACTCTTCCTTGGCTTCCTCTTCATCCATCTCTACCTGTACCACAACTTCTTGTTCTCTCTCTAGTATTCAAGGCGATATTTTAACATGGTATAAGAGCAAGGTTCAACCATTAATGTCATCCCACTGATCAGAGGCATCAAAATCTCCGTTTATCTCTTTTCTTTGTCAGTCATTATTCAGATTGATCATTGTCAATATTGACGGGAAACCCTAGATCAGTCATCTTAACTTCGATTTTTGGACCTCTAAACCCGGATTCTCTTCTTCTCTCTAAATCTCTTCTTTGCCCTAAATCTCATCTCCTTTGAAGTGAACAATAAATTCGAGTACTGTTCATGTGAATACTAATATCTAGTTACCATTTACATGAACAGTAAACCCTAGTTACTATTTATGTGTACGCTAAAACCTAGTTGCTCTTCACATTTGAACAGTAAATTCCTTTTCTTTCCAAAAAAAAAAGAACTTATTTTGATTATCTTCTACTCATTTCATCCAATGGAAACTTCGAGTTTCCCCAATATTCCTTTTCCCAAAGTTACCATCAAATTTTCTTCTTTCAACTTAATTGTGTGGAAAGGAGTTACAATTCCTCTCATCAGAAGCCCACGATTGATGGGTCACATGATGCGACGTGCAAGGTACCACCACAGTTATCACCAAAGAGGAAATGAGTACAAAAGGAAAGAGATGATTGGCTAGTCAAGGACAAAGGATTAATTAGGCAGATTAATTCTATATTGTCAGAAGATACATTGGCACAAGCGGTTGATATAAATATGCTTAAGAATTGTGGAAGGAATTATAAAACTCATATCCCAGAAGTCTCAGGCTAGTCTAATGCACTTGATACAAGAACTTTTGAGTTGTAAAAAGCAAAATAAATCCATATCTAAGTACTTGGCCAAAATCAAAGGAATATGTGATTGGCTTGCTATGATTCAGCATCCTATTAACTTACTGACAAAGTGGACATTCCATGAAGGGTCTTGGAGATGAATATGCGACTTTTGTTACTAGTGGTACCTCTAGACCAACATATCGCACTTTTGTAGAATTACATTCTCTAATTCTTCAGTATGAAACTATATTCCCCAATAAAAGGATGGCACAGCAACCAAGTGTGATTTCTTATGATGTTTTGTTTGCCTACAATGATTACTCATCTCCTTGGAATGGCTTCCTTAGAGGTTGAAGCAAAGAAAGAAATGATAGAGAATGTGGCGGTCATGGTAGATGTGGGATTTATAGAAATACTGTTGGGCGTGCCATCCTACCTCCACCTAACAATAATAATAATGGGAATTCCAGTCCTGGGAATAATGGTATAATATGTTAGATCTATGGAAGGCATAACCACTCGGCCGCTAACTATTATAACAATATGCCTTCTCAAAAAATATGATGGACATCCATGACCACGATATGAAAGCGACCAGCATGTTGTTGATAAGGTCATCAGTAATGAAAGTGGAGTTCATAATGTTGGAAGACAGCCAACCGCATTGAATATATCGATGGAGAATCTAGCCATTACATCACCATCCTAAGCTGCATGAATTTTTTATTGTGGGGAAGCCAACAATTTGATAGGAAATTCAGGTATGGTCTCTTCCCTTGTCCCTTACTCACACAGTGGGTCTATTATAACTAGAGATGGATCCTCTCATCATAATATAAATGTCAGGGATGTCAAAATTCAGTCTTCTAAAGGTCCTATACATCTAAAAATGTTGTCCTTGTCCTTAATTTCAAAAGCAATCTTATTTCTGTCACAATTGGCTTGACAAATCATGTCTTCTTGTTATTTACTCCCCATTGTATTTTATTGAAGGACCTACATCAAGAACCATGTTCACTTCAAGACGTGAAGAGTTGTACATAGTTTATGAGGAAAAGAAGTTCCAAACTCTGGCCATGTCTTGTCGTGTTTATAAGGATGCCAATTTTTGGCATCATAGATTGGGTCATTGTGTATGGAGCCTTTAAATAAGTTGAGTAGAGGACTTGTTTCCTCCAACATTGGTCTTCCTTCCTAGCGAGTTTATTTGTCATGGTTATCAACTGGGAAAACATGTCTAGTTGTCATTTGTTTCTAAAAATAAAAGACCTTCTTCTCCATTTGAGTGTATCCTAATGTATGGGGTTCAGCACCAACCGCATCTCCTTCCAATTCCCTTTATTATGTGATCCTTTTTTATGACTTCTCTAGATTTACATGGATTTTCTTTCTTAATAACAAACTTCATGTATTTGAAACGTTTGGTCATTTCAAGTTGTTTGTTGAAAAAACTTCCATAAGCAGATTTTGAACTTCTGTAATGACGGACAGAGGGAGAACTCAACTTATATGTATAAAAATTACCTAGGGGGCAATGGGATGGAGCAACAAATTTCTTGTCCTTATACTCCACAACAAAATGGAGTGGCGGAAAGGAAACATAAACATAAAAATGAAGTAGGATTTATTCTTATATTTTCAAGTGGAGTTTCAAAGTTTTTACGAACCGAAGCTTTTCATACAGCTACCGTCTTGATAAATAGACTTCCAGGTGGTATTGGATGGAAATATCTATACCTACACTGCTTGGAAGAACTCCTGACTATTCTATCTTGAGGTGTTTTGGATGTTGGTATTATGTCCATATTTTAGTTGTTGGGATCAGAAGTAGGATCGGGCTTGAGTGTGCGGGATCGTGAAATGCTAGAAAATCGCTTTGGTTGAGAGCATCGTCCGCACACTGCATACTTTACGGATCTAGATCCCAAATGTTAGATACTGAGATCCCAACCTTTTGGGGATCTTGATCCCAGCCTTTTAGGATCTTGACCCTAACATTTTGTGGCTCACAACCTTAAAGAGTATGTAATCTTGGACAATTTATACTCCCTCTAAAGTAGGGATCTCTTTAATGCATGGCCAGCAAGCAATGCAAATCGCTAGCTGGTTATAAATTACAAAAATTATCAATTTGGTTGCTATCTTGGTTTTTAATGTTGGGATAGAGATCCCCAACAATAGGAATCAGGGTCCCTACCAATGGGATCAAGATCCTTAAATTTAAAAACCCCCTAAGATCCCTTTCCCTGGAGTGCTGGAGCGAGATTCCGCGGTGGAATCACCACCTATGTTGGGAGATCCTGGCAACTATGGTCCATGGTGTACAAGTAAACTTGATCCTAAGGCAGAAACATGTATTTTTGTGGGATACTCATATGATCATAAAGGCTATAGATGTTCTTATCCCCAGAGGATAGGAATTTTTGTTTCTAGACATGTAACATTAAACGAGTCGAACATGTTTACTCCTCCAGAGTATGATACTATAGGTGAAAGTCTGTATTCAAATGAAAGAAACAAACATAAGAATGATAGTGAACTATTCTTCATAAGTCGACATCAAATGGAAAATTTTGTTGAATGTAATATTGAGAAACGTGGCGATGATGAAGATATTGTTCCTTGTAATCGAGGAGACGACTTATGCCATTCTACAAGGATGACCTGCAAATACGCCAAAGTAGGGGCTCAACACAAAATGCTCCACATGAAGTCCTTAAGTACAAAAGACGAGCTAAGATGGGGCAGCAAGCGAAAACATTATAAAGACCAGCAAAGGAATACACAAACCAGCCCATAGAGCATCTGAACCAGACCATATGTTAGACACTCCAGTTGACGCAGATGTTGAGACCAATTCATTGAGGAGGTAAACTCACATTAAAC